CGAAAAATGGCAGCACGATAGACTGTTCATGATTCGTTGAAACGGTCGTTTTTGGTCGCTTTCATAGAAAACCAGAAAATAATTACAGGCCTTCTTTTTTTTCGTCAGTGATTCATCATGGGCCGCGGGTCACCGATGAGAAAAAGCAAGGAATACTGCCACGTGATTATCCCCGAGCCAACGACCACTGGCATCTTCATTCCTTCACGCCTCGACCAAAGCGAAGAAGAAGAAGAAGAAGAAGAAGAAGAAGAAGAAGAAGAAGAAGAAATCAACGAGGAGAACTAACTTTAGTCTTTATTATTTTCGACGAGATAACTATAGTCAAGATGGGACATCATAACCTTCGTTTCGACGGCGATCCTCACTCGCTGGATGGAGTTTGGAGTCCCCCTACTAGCAGGGCCAAGTACGATGTCACCCTAGCTGTCAACGATATCGATGGGTCACTGACTTGATGATTGTAGCTTTTGTGAGGAAGATTATGCTGTGACATTTTACCTGGCCGAATTTATCAATGCCTTGACAAACGTTACGTACGGTAAGTTCTTGTGTGACGCCGCAACATCCGAAATCTTGGCCACAGCTGACCTTTTGTAGTCTACTTGGCTCTTCGGTCCATGTATGGCTCGCGCAGTCGCAGCCGTGGACTGTTTGATCCGAAATGGGACTTTATGTCTGTCTCGCTCTTGGTTCTTGGCTTTGGTTCATTTCTTTTCCATGCGACTCTTCGCCAGACGTTGGAATTTGTCGATGAACTGTCAATGCTGTTGCTGTCTTGGTCGATGCTGCGTTCCCTCGTCATCTTACGACAGTCTCCTCAGAACATCCGCTACATCTCGATCGTCCTGGCAATTTTCTTCATTTCCTTCTCGGTATTCTACGTCAGATCTGCCAAGATCATTTATCAGGTCATCGGCTTCTGGGTTTCGCTCATCGTCATCGGCGTGCGTGTTCGCTACCTATTCCACTGGGCCAAGCCAACATTTTCCGAAGAGAATGTACGCGATTGGTCTATCCGAGTATGGACTGCAACGTTCACCTGCCTGTTTGGATATTTCATCTGGAACCTCGATCTTGAATTCTGCGCTGAGTTAAGGAACTTTCGACAGCGCATTGGACTGCCTTGGGCTTGGCTTCTTGAGTTCCACGGCTGGTGGCATATTTTGACTGCTCTTGGTGCGAGCCAATTCATGAATGTGGTGAGAGAGGTTCGTGAGGAAGTGAGTCGGGAAAAGAAAGAATGATTGGATAAGCAAAGGCGCATGGCGTTGGATAGGGCTGTAAGCCTCAGGGAGCAAACATTGGTTCTTGTTATAAGGTATCAAAATAAACTCAGCAAAATGTATCCTAAACTTGTGCGAAATTACCCAGTTCTTTTTATCACTTAGGCCAAAGGTCCTAGGTTTTGCCTCCCCTGGTGTGGTATATCTCTATGAGGCTCGGGCAACCTCTGCACGTTTAAGGATCAAAGAGCTATTGAGCTAATATGGATTGCAATTGCTGGCCGGTTACGTGAGAAATGCTTACAGCCTACGAGCTGTCGTTTCCTATTTCACACCCGGTGGCATCGAGATGAGCAGGTATCAATATCTTCAAATGATAATCGATCTGGCGTTGACAAGGATCAGATCTTGAGCAAGAATGCGCAGGATAATGATACAATATCTTGGGTTTGTGTAACTGAGGCGAATATCAGACATTCAGACGTCACTTTTGGACCCTGAGACAGTTACCCCTCCATACCCCGCTGACCTGGGACAGCCTAGGCCTAAAATACAGATAGACAGCGCAAGGAAAAGCGAAAATGTCTGGCATGTTGGAGTCAATGAATTGGATATATATATGTGTAAGAACCGACGTTTATAACAGAGCCTGGAGGTGCTTAATGTGAGTTGAGATCTACAAACTTGGTTAAGGCCAGGCACTCATGAACCGAACTTATCTACACACGTTCCTTCAAGCCCCAGACTTAAGGTACCTAGTCAACAATCAACGAACAACTTAGACTATAATACTGAATCATTAATGATCTAGAAGCGCAGTTCTCCATCGGAACACCATCGGAACTCGGTGAATTCCTTTCCATTGATCTCCCGACGTAGGAAAGGAAAGGAAACGTTAGACTGCACCAATCATCAAGTACCATGATCCTGACTCCCCACGTCATTCGACGCCTCCTAGCGAGGTGCACCAAGTAGTTACACTCAGTTGGGAAGATCTGCCGATGAGAACGGTCAAGCTTGGGAAATCGAGCCATTGGGGAGCCGTTTCAGGCGGCCAAAGGGAAACTCAGGTTGGTGTGAAACTGCGCGAACCACTGATTTTGACCCGCCGTGCTCTGACTGTCAGTGAATCAGCCTGCCTGCCCTCTGCCTTCTTTTAAAAGAACCTCCCCTCTTATCCACCCGCTATTTTCCTTCTCCTCAATCATCTCTCCACATCTCAACTTCACGCCACAAACTCACAAGCAAACAAAAAACACACACACAATCTTCAACACCAACCTCCAAAACAACCATCATCATGTCTGGCTGTGGATGCGCTTCTTCTGGCTCTTGCGGCTGCGGCTCTAGCTGCACCTGCGCCGGCTGCCCTGTAAGTTCTCCCTGGTCTGGTGCATGTCTTGTCTCAACGGTCCGAGGACTAACGTATACCAATCAAGCACAAATAAACTCTTCTTCAACGCCTTCGACGGGAACCCTGATGGATGAGACATGGGGAATGGGGACTCGGATGGTGGTTAACGATGTATCCACTCATTACTTCTTGTCGGCACTAATAAAGTGCAAGTCTCGGAACTAAATGACGATCACAAATTGCAGTCTGAAGTCTTGACGTTGATGTATTATGCTTGTATTGTGAATGTGCTATCTCAAACATCAGCTGGTGGCCTGTTTCCAACTGGGCCAGCAGATCTATCTCTACCAACGATTGTCTGAAGACGGAAAGAATGCTAGAACCGGACTCAAAGCCATACTCTGCCAGTCCTCTTTTGTTGTAGACTCAGCCTCGGATTCCCCTTCTTCATCCATATATACACCCGCCATTGATTCCACCTCTTGAACATCCTGGGCAGGCCGCCTCGACCGGTGACGCTGCCCTCTTTCATATGCTACCAACATAGCCTCTCGTATCAACCTCGCACCATATAGTATCGCAGCTATGACTGACATGGCGAAGCTTGCCTGTGCGATTTGGCAATACCCTTGGGTTCGGTCCCAAGCCGCAGAACACCCTCTGGTTAGGTACCAAGGACGTGGACTTGGGTGTTCAGGATCGGTAAAGTCGCTCGACGTTTGGCCCGCAATGCTCACAGCCCAGAGCGCGAGAAGGATCGCATCGTAGATGTTATTTACGTAGCGGGGGAGGTATCGAAGATGTGACATGGCGGTGCGAGCGAAGAAGACGACCAACCCAAGAATGGCGATGGCCAGGTTCGAGGTGTAGAGTCTGGAGATATCCAATATCAGTACCTTTCCTATCAACGTGCTTTAGTGTCAAGATGTTGGATATCGTACCTTTGACTCCAAATCAGAGGCACTTCAGGTGGCTCCTGATGGTTGGCGTAATAGTATATCCGCTTGTTGGGGTTGGAGTTCCATCCTTGTTCGCCACCGTTCTCCCATAGTCGTGATCTAAATTCTACTGGATACATGATACCAAAGAGAGTTACTGCCGTGGTCGAAATGGCCAACTCTGCGAGGATCAATGCGAAAGGTGTCTTGTGCGTAGGCGCCATGGTTGCGAGTTCTGGCGACACCACTCCTCAAACATCGAGGGAGGCGGGGAGCATTCTTTAAATGGGCTTGGGTCGGCGTTCAAGGTGCATTACGAGTAATACGGTGACAATCAGTGGACAGGCTGTGTTGTTTTTCGGTCAAAAAGCCCGCTTCACAACCTTGCGCTTTCCTGGTATCGAAACTTGCTCATACTGCCGCATCGAAGGATGACATTGGCACTTGGAGTATTGTACAACACAACATATGGATTAATGCTATATTCACCTGATAATTATCATCTGTTCACAGCAGATTGAACACAAGATACTATGTTGGTACAGTGGAGGCTGTCATGAGGGTGAATGTTAAAGTGCGCCACGATGTTTCTCCACGAACTTAATATGCGTTTCTACCGACTCATCAGACATCCCTAGCTCCCGTTGAAGGTCCAGGAACTCGGAAATTAAAAAGTTTAATGACGGCAGGGGTATTGGATAAAGCTCCTTGCCTGGTCAAGTGTTGGCCTGCAAATTGTTCAAGTGTACTATGTTCCACAAAGGGCGTTCTATTATCTGTTATGGTACACCAGCAAACCTGGACCCAGCTGTGAGCTATAAGTGAGTCAGAGAAGATCTTTTGTCAACATGGCGTCCATCTGAACAAACGGGAGTGTGCCACACTGAAGGCTGTCGCTCCCAACCACCTAGAGATGCATGCTGCTGATAACAAGCATGACGAGTACTGCTACAAGACTAGTAGTGGGTGCTGGATATGATCGCATTGTCCCAAGCTAATCGACTTATCAGACTGGAGACCTGATGAAGCTGATATCGGGCATATTCGTTCAACGAGGGCTCGCGTGGCGCTCACCAGGACTGGTCATTTGCAAGGCATGGCCCCCTCGAGGTTTGCGAAGTCTTGTCATCAAGACATATTTAGATCCTAGTATTTCTAATATGAGCACAATCTCCCATTAGCCTTGTTGTATCTCTAAGTCTAATAATCTTCTTGTGATATCGAGGTTGTTTCCCATGAGATAAAGAGTTTTGATGATTTTGTCTCCTTTTCTTCGTGACCTTAGCTGGTTGATCAGCTTAATAATAAGGCACATCTGGGAAATATGCAAGCTTATAGGTTTGATTTGGTAAAGACAAACTACCTAGGTACTGCTATCCAATATCAAGGAGCATGAGTTGTGAAAAGAGACTTCTACGTTGATTGGTTATTCCCGAGATCGCCCAGTCTCCAAGCATGATTCCGAGGCGAGCGGGAGTTATTGGTGATGTCAGGCTCCACTCCAGCTAGAATAGGTCAGCCCGCCGCGTCCACTGCCGTGCCACTTTCAAACATCATCAGCACAAGACAAGGCTTTCTTTTGTTCCCTCATTCATTCCTAGAACCGACTTTACTTTCGCAAAACATCGCCAATAAAATGCAATAGAACCCGCTCTTATCGAAACCGCTTTCACTATTACAACCACCGTTCTACCCGATCGGCACGCGACCCGAGGTTGCTATTCAACCATGCCGTCAGAAACCCAAGATACACCCGGCATAGCCGCTCTGCCTCCAACGAAACCGGCCGATGCACCCCGACGATGCTTCATCTGCTTGACCGACGAAGATCCCTCAGATCCCCCGGGATCATGGGTCGACCCCTGCGGATGCACCCTCGAAGCCCACCAGGACTGCATGCTTTCATGGGTAACGGATTGTGAACGCTCCAACAAACCTCTCCAATGTCCAGTATGTAAGGATCGTATTCAGCTGGAAGGACTGTGGGATCCTATCGTTGTTATGACGGATGCCGTCGCAAACAAGTTCACTCGCGCGAGCCCTTTCATGTTGCTCTCGTCAGTTACACTCGGAGTGCAGTTCAGTCTCCAGATGTATGGCGCATTCGCTATGTGGGCTTTCTCAGGCCGCGAGGCTCTCGTCGACTATGTTCTTGGTCATGAGATCTGGGTTCACGGAGAGGCGTCCCGAATTTTGATGTCTGGGGGTGAAAGACTAGGCAATGCACTGGTTTTAACCAACGTGGGACCGGCTCTGCTGGTCGGACAGCTGATGCCATGGTTTGGCAACAAGATCTTTCTCTCTACAGCTTCACTGGTAAGTTAGAGTTCTAGCAAGTATTGGGAACTACTAACAAATCAAAAGTATGGCGTTTATCAAGTCATGCATGACGATACTTTCCTGACCTGGCCTCCATCACCCCAACTCGCGATGGCAGTGTTTCCGTACGTGCGGTCTGCCTACCTCAACCTCTGGCGCGAATTTGTCTTCCCTTATGAAGTCAACCTCAATCGACAGATCATGGGGCTCCCCCCAGTCGAACCCCGACGAGATCAGCCTCCTGCCAACGAGCGACAACCCGAACAACGGAACGGAGAGGGCGGTGTTGTGGGTTTTCTCAATGGGCTCATTGAAGCTCTCGAAGGCGATGACATCGACGAGGATGGCCAGGATGATGCTGGCGCCGGCGGTCAAGACGCGGATGGTGAGCAGGGCGGAGGAGTTGTTATCGAACTGGTCATCGAGGAGGTTGATCGAGATGACCAAGAAGGCTTTGATGTTAGGCCTGCAGGACAAAACGAAATGGCTCCACAGGGACCTGTCGACGATGTACCTGCGCCGCGTCCGACAGGTGAGGAGGTTCAAGGGGCAGTAGATGAGCCTCACAACCCAGCCCGTGTTCCTGAAGAACCGGCCCAGGGTGCAGATGCCGTCCCAGCTGTTGTACCCGATGCAGGAAATGGAGATCAAGCTGCTCGACAAAACCAGCACGAAGCCCCCCAAGCGCCGCCCGCCCGCCGACCGGGTCTAGGAACGATTCTATCCGGAGTATCTAATGCCATAGTAAGCGCACTGATCCTTCCTGGTGTGTCGTTTGCCATGGGTGAGCTTTTACGCCTAGCCCTACCTAAGCAATGGACTGCTGCATCTTCCTTTCCACGGGGAAGCACTATGCGTCCAGGACTGCTCCAACAACAATGGGGGCGAAGTCTCGTCGGCGGGTGCCTCTACGTTGTACTCAAAGACTTTCTTAGGCTGTATACCAAGTACCGTAAGGTAGCTGCTATAGGTAATAGGAAGGTCAAGAATGTTGACAGAGCCCGACGACGAGCTGGGAAATGAGAAACTCGAGATGGGTAATGCCCGCTCTGGAGAGAGGGGGATGGACGCTGTCATAATGATTGCATTAACCGGCGTTATGGATTTGTATAGCCAGGCCAGGGGCTTTCGCTTCGGGAGTGAAGGGGCATTGCTATAGCGAGATACTACAGAGATACACCAGAATACACAAACCATTCAACTCTTGAAGCTACGGATGCATCCAGATTCACAGGAAGTTTATATCTTGATGGTATGTTCATTGGCCGGTACTGATTCGACGAATGACAAACCTCGAGTGAAACTATGCTATAGGAAACGCTCTTCCAGTGGGCATCAGAAGCCAAAGTATAATTATCTGATTAAGGTACGAATATCATAGATCTTTGGCACACTTTACTTATATCCATCGCTAAGATTGACTGTCGGGGTGTCGTTCCCCCGCAGCTACAGCACAGATTCGGCTGCTCCCAGGCCCATGCCCCACGTGGAACCTTCCAGCCCAAACTCCACGACGCCTCAACCGCGGGGCCCTTTTTTTGCCTGCCCTGCACTTCTGAGATCTACGTTGACCTCTCTCTCGTCTTGTCTCACCGAATCATATCCTCTTCTTATTTCCATTGGATCTTTCTGTTAGACTTGCATCTTCTGCCTCCTATCTATTTACTTTCCACTCCCTTCTCAACCTGTCCTTCAGGTTCTCTCCATTCGCTATGGTCAGCTCAATCCCCCGCAGTATCAACCACGGCTGCACTGCATACTCGTCATGACTCTCTTGACATGTGGCTAATACTCTCCTACAGGCGTCTTCTCACAACTCCAAGCAGCGCCTGGCGCTCGCTATCTGCGATTTCCTCTCCGCTTCCACAAATGACGGCACTCTCACCGCCGACGACAAGGACTCCATCGATGTGGCTATCAACTGTATCGCCGAATCCTTCAAGGTCGATCCCTCCGATACCTCCGCTGTCCAAGCCGCCATCGGATCTCAGAACCTCCTCCAGATCTACTCTGTATTCGAGAAGGCCCGCGCCGACAAGCCCGCCGCTGCCGCTCCTACACCCGCGCCTGTCGAGCTCACCGACGAGCAGAAGAAGGAGGCCGAGGCCCTGAAGTCAAAGGGAAATGCTGCCATGGCCCAGAAGGACTACCGTGCTGCCATCGACTTCTACACCCAGGCTCTGGCTATCAACGCCAACAACGCTGTCTACCTCTCCAACCGTGCCGCTGCCCACTCGGCCAACAAGGACCACGCTTCCGCCCGCTCTGACGCCGAGGCTGCCGTAGCCATCGACCCCGCTTATACTAAGGCCTGGTCCCGACTTGGTCTTGCTCGCTTCGCCCTAGGCGACGCTCGTGGTGCTATGGAGGCCTACGACCGCGGTATTCAGCATGAGGGTAACGGTGGCTCTGACGCTATGAAGAAGGGCTACGAGACGGCCAAGCGCCGTGTTCAAGAGATGGAGGCTGAGGAGGACTCTCTTCCCCGTGCTTCTCCTAGCGCCGGCGGTGATCTCGGTGCTGGTGGCATGCCCGATCTCGGTAACCTTGCCAGCATGTTCGGCGGTGGTGGTGCCGGTGGCCAGGGCGGTGGTATGCCCGATCTTGGTAGCATCATGAGCAACCCAATGTTCGCCAACATGGCCCAGAAGCTCATGAGCAACCCTGACCTTATGAACAACCTCATGAGCAACCCTCGTCTACGCGAGATGGCTGACCGCTACTCAACTGGTGGTGGCATGCCTGACCTGAACAGCCTCATGTCCGACCCTCAGATCGGAGAGATGTAAGTTTCCCATTTGGCCCACGTCACTTTCATAGTCATTGACTCAATCTTTAGGGCCCGAAACATGATGGGCGGTGGTGGCAACCCCTTCGGAGGCGCTGGTGGTCCCGGTGCCGGTGCCGGCGGTGCCAACGGACAAGGCGGTGCGCAACAGTAGAGATGGAATTGTGCAAATAGGGCATCTTTTTTATATACCATGGTTGCTAGGTGATACCTAAGGGTGACGATTCATTGAAGAACATGAAAACGAAGCCGTGCGCATGCTCCTCTTTTTGTTTAGCTTCTACAATAGAAACAGTAGCTATTATTATGTTGTCCATTTCGGATATGATATCGATCTGTGATACACTCACCAAAAGTTGTCTATTGGACTCCCTTATTCGTAGGAACTAGTACTCTTCTCTCCACATTGCCACTTANNGAGAGAAGTGTAGTCGGTTGCTGGAACACCAGGCTTGCCATCAAGAGTCGACAGCCTGAAGTTACGCACCAACGTCGCGACAATAACGCCCAAGTTAACATAAGCAAACTTCTCTCCGATACATCGATGCCGGCCAGCGCCAAAGGGCAAGTATGGGCTCTTTGTTCCTTTAGAGACAGCACCGTAGCCGTAGTCGACGACCTCAACCGTCACGGCCTCCTCCTGGGGCTTGTTATCCCACCGATGAGGATTCCATCTTTGTGCGTCCGGGAAGTGTTCTTCACTCAACGCTGTAACAGTTGGTGAAGCGAGGAGAACCTTGTCGGTGGTGACGGTGTAAGGTGATCCAGGTGCTTGCATGGGTCTCTTAACCTTTCGCAGAATAGAGTGGATAGAGGAATGAACTCGGAGTGTTTCTTTGACGACATTCTGGAGAAGTGGGAGCTTGTCGAGGTCTGAGTACTGCAGGGGTGGGAGAGCGCCGCCAGCACTCAAGTTGATGACTTGCTCTTGGTAGAGTTCCTCAGCGATATCAGGGGATGAAGCCAGATGCAGTACGATCCATGAACTAGCAGATGACGAAGAGTGTTGTCCGGCCATGAGAAGAGTGATCATCATGTGTGCGATCTCCTTGTCTGGAATTGGCTGCCCGTTCTTGTAGGCACAACTCATCAAGTTGGCGATCATATCGGTTCCTTTTTCCAAGTCTCCTCCGCCTCTTCTTCGTTCGTTGATGATGTCCATGTAGATCTCTCTCATCTTTGTATGGGCAGCGTCTCGACGTCGGTTGCGAGGCAGAGGTAGCCAGGGGAACAGGAAGTTGACAGGAGTAAAGCCTAGATCGAGGTCATGATACAGAGCTGCAAACTCAGCGGTAAGCTTCCGTCGAACTTCTTCACCTTGAAGAGAACGGGCGGCAGTGAAGATGGTGATCTCAGCCATTGCCTTGGATACATCAACTGTGCCAGACTTTCCAGAAAACGATGGCACAGCTTGGATGTACTCCAAAACCTCTCGCTCAATCAACTGAACATGGGACTCAAGAGCCTTCTGGGTAAGGCCAAACTTGACAAACTTCTTTTGCTCCATGAGCTTCGAGTTTGGACAATCGTATACGACATCGCTACCAAAGACAGGCGTTGTCAATGGACTGTAGATCTCTTCGGCGTTGGCGTCTTGAATTCGACTGTTGAGAACAAAGTCATTGCCATCAACACCAAGACAGGCAACGATTTTTCGACCGAAGAGGATAAAGGTGAAGACATCGCCGTGCTAGGGAAGAAATCAGTATCAGCATTAAGCCATAAGTAAGACGTGGGTTTAACCTTTTCTCGGCATTTCACAAAGAAGCCGTAAGGGTCGAGTCCATAAGCGACAGCATTACCAAAGAACGGAAGCCAGTGGAACACTAATGGAGGCTCGTTGGCATTTCGAGGGAGCTTTTGGTATAAGACATTGAGAGTGATGATAGCGAGGCAGGAAGTAAAGGCCCATAGAGGGTAGTAGAGGAGTGAAAACATTTGGAAAGAGAAGAGATGGTTGCGGTTTGTTGGATGAGTTGTGAAGTTGAGGGAATCTGTGAGTTTATATGGACAAAACGAGAACCAGATCTCTTCGGGGAAGACGATACCACCAGCTCTATTGCGATTCCTATCTCTCAGCCCGGACTGTCTTTGATTATGCCATTAATGCGAGCCAAGCTTCGCCGCAGGTCAAAGCCTTGGGGTGTTCTCTCGGTTATCACATCCTGATACTCAGAAGGATTCGCGGTCTCAGTCTCAACCAATGGTTCTTCTTCGATCGTAAGCCCGAATAATCACTGAAGTGGGTTTGTTATATGTTCTTGGAGTTGATATCTCTCGTTTTCACCGCAAAGAAAGGTTATAGTGATGCCGAATACGTTGGATGGTTGTCGCATTCGTATTCGTACTTGACCTTCTGAAGCAACTCTACGTCACATTTTATTCCGAGGAATAGTCGATATGTAGAGAGAGATTCCACTCGACCTGCAAAATCCAGGCTCTTTTGGTAGTAATGGTATTTTGTGTCCTTTGTGCCTTGCGTTGTCGGAGCTGAGTTGGTAGCCCCCTGATCGAGACATGCGTCGTGGCCAACAACCATTTTCCTTATAGTGTCTAGCAACTCCAAAGCTCAGCACATACGACCATAGCTATCAGACAACTCGGGATCCCGTCCGCTCTCCGTTCGATAAACTGATAAGTGCTGAATTAGTAGTTGGGTCGGTGACGACCAGCGAATCCTCGGTGTTGTATGTTTTTCTTTTTACTATTCGATTCTATGATCTTTCTATGCTATATCTAAAAGCATATGGCTGCCTAAGAACATACGACTGATAGACTTCACATCCTTTCTCGCTTCTTGAACGGTGTGTCTCGTCGGTAGTGCCATGAGGTGGAATCGCCATAGACTCTTTCATACCCAAACACTCCCTCGACCAAATTCAAAATTGCAGCAGCAGATATGTTGTAGATAGGTCCATATCTGTTCTCACAATGCAGGGTGAGCTTGTCACACTCGAGTCCAAAGCCAGAGGCGGCGTGGTTGAGTGTGATCTCCACCGCAGGAGGCTCGGATGTGTTAGATATGTCCTTGTCACAATGCTATAGACGCAAGAGATACTGACCTTATCTGTACGATTGACGATGGTCATTGTCCATTTCTTCAGGTACTCGGCCATCACTTCCAAAGTCTGGCTGTGGCTGCATTCAATTTCAATCTTCTGGCTCCTGCTTGATAACGAGGTGTACACGAAGAGGTGATAGGGAGCTTGCTGGAAAAGTGCACTAGGCTTCGGCAAAGTGTTTGGGTCTGGGAGATAATCAATGGCTGGTGTTTTGCTGCCTGTTGGCGGAGGTTTAGCAGGCTCTTCTTCTCGATCTTCTGCTCCAACATCTGCCCACTCATCACCCGTGGTGGAGTGTATGGGCAACGTCTTGGACGGTCGATTTTCTTCGAAGCATTCAAGAAGCTGTTCCTTAAAGAGACCGAAATACTGAGCTGCCTGGTGAGTTAGATCTTTGGGGATGTACAGAATGAATCCAAGTTGTGCATTAGACCACTTGGTTGATGGTCGTTGATTCTCTGACACCTGCGATATACCATGTCAGCTCCGAACCCAAATCAACTACGAGCAACATACCTCAACTGTCAAGTTCAACCTCGAAGTCAGCTCTCTGACTTTGGTAAGGAGAGTGTCCGTCCAGGCTTCATGAGATTCATCGTCAAGCAAATCGGTGAGTGCTTCAAACCAAACATGAATGAAGGATGCCACCGACGAAACCAGCTCGCCCTTATCTTCCCAAAAGCTCTCCAGCTCGGACACGAGAATCTGCCATTGAGGTTCACAGTGAACTTCAAGACCGAGCACGTCTTTCAGCTTTTTCATAGACTCTTGAGCACGGCATTCGTGCTTTTCCCAATTATCGCGGATCGAGACTTTGGCCTTCAGTGGGCTGATAGTTGCGTGAATCAGTAAACCAGCCAATGAGAGACAAAGGCGGTGGAGTTCAACTTACAGAGACATGATTGATGCTACGATATGCGATGGAGAGTTGGATCTTGAGATGAGGAAAATTCACGATGAAGCAAGAGATAATGAACTCATATCTCCATTATTATTTACCCGCCATCGGGTGAAGTGCAACCCCTGAAGTTGATACTCCTCTTTCTGCAAAGGGGAATGCGGGCTCACGCTGGGTCGGGGTATTACACGCTAAGCAGCGCTATGTTTTCAGCTGGGCGTTTTGGCGTTGTAAGGCAGATTAAAAACCGACCATCACCGCAATTTCTCTCCCACATTCCTCTCTACAGCCTTCCAATAGGGCTTAGGCAGCTACACGCAGGGTCCTCAATCTAGGCAGCTACAGGCATGGGGAAAACGCCATGTGGCTATGGGTAACTTGGTCAACTACTGCGAAATGCATGTTTGCCCTTGACTCCAGCACGTGCTATTGGCCACAGGCTGGATTGAAGCCTTGTCATGGCAATGGTTGGCGTTGTCAAGTGTTACACGCTTGCAGCTTGACTACTGTATACGCAGTCTAGCTTCAGATAATAACGGCACGTCAGTTGCCGGTTGAGACTCTGGGACTAGGCTGATATGGCAGGTCGTCAGGGGTTCAGATGCCAAAATCAAGCATAAAAGCCAGTCTCGCACCGCAAGACTAAGATCCTGAGTATCAACAAAGTCTCTAAACCAGTCTATCAACTCACAACTAAGATCTCATTCTTCTATCATCATGTCTCGACTTCCGCCTGCTGAGAAAATGCCCCTTGCTGTTCGCAAGAATAGTAGGTCTCTTTTATAGACCAGTCGCGACGGTATCACTAACAAGGTTCCAGTCCGAGACAGCTGGGAAAACACCAAGGCAGATCACGAAAAGAAGCTCTCGGAGATTCTTGGCCAGCCTTGGACTATCAACATTGACCCTAAAGCCCTCTATCCTTATGCCGAGGAGGGTTCCTGGGGCCACACCTCCTTGGGTGATCTCATTGTCAGGTTCGTTTCTCTTTTAAGCCGTCCTCCCTAGTCGTTAGCAGCAAGAAGCATGTCTTTATACAATAAGTGGCCATCGTTCACAACTTACTAACTGTCCTCTCTTCTTCTTAGCTATGTTGAGGGTGTTGAAGATCAATTGAAGTACTTCATTGACCGAAATGGAGATGGAACTAAGGATGAGATTAACGAGATCTGCTCCGGCCATGTCCTGACCATGGACTTTGATGAGAAGAACACCGTCTCTTATTGTGGAACCAAGGTTGGTCCCGAGGGTGAACTCATCATTCTCTTTACCGAGGGCAACCTGGGTACCAACACCAATTATGCTGCTGACAGCAACAACATCACCAAGGCCTTGAACGAAGCTCCTTCAACTGTTCGGCCCATGAGCTTTGTTGCTAGGGCCTCCATCAGAGAGGACTATGACCCCAACGTTCAGCAGATTCAGGATAAGCTGAACAAGATCCTCGGTCAGGAGATCACCATCGTCCCTAACTTTGAGGCCAACTTCGGAAAGCTCAAGGGCAAGGCTAGTGCTGATAGCGGTTGGGAGCAAAACTTTGGAAGGTCTCATTTCTCCTATCTTGAAGGCTTGGTCTCGCAGCTTGAGTATGACAAGTTCGGTGAGGATGATATGCTTCAGGAGGGACTCCTTGAGGCCATGGACAAGCATGCTGTTCATGTCCGCGTTGTAGACAAGACTAAGAGGTCCTACAACGAGACTGTCATTGAGGACGGTATTCTGTACCTTCGGGTAAGAAGTTCTGCATGTCTCTTTACGAATTAAGTGGGAACTAACATGGATGACAGACTTCCCCTTCAGACTTTGGCGTTAACGTTCATCAAATTTCAAGTGATCTTGTTAATATCCTATAGACTAGAGAAGCCTCCATAGCTTACACTAGACAAAGATATCTATTAAAGGAGTTGATATATAATGTTCCGGCTAGTAGTGGCCATTCCAGCATGCTTAAGTTTAAGAAATCCGCATATATTAGATAATCAGAACCATAGAGTGATGAAGTGTTTAGTGATGATACATAATGCACAGTAGGGAGAAGCCCTTCTTGTTGCTGCGTGTTGTCTGGTTAATGGCAAGAGATGTCAGTGAGGACTCTGGTCAATTACAGGTAACTCTGCCAGACTGGCCACTGGTCACCCAATGCAACTGAGGCGATTCTTGGCGAACATGCATGTCGTGGGCACCTGAAGCAGAGTCATCGGCCAAGGCAAAAAGATGGAGTCATCCTCATCAGACAACAAAAGGTCAGGACCGAGCGTGGATCGAACACGCGGCCTAGGGATCTGCAATCCCTCGCTCTACCGCTGAGCTATCGATCCCTGGCTTAATTCTGATTCTGGCGATGTTGGTTGTGCATATATGTCTTAGATGCAGACGTGGCGTTGAGGCACAAAAAAGGACACGACGCCAAATCGTGGGGTCGTCGGGTCGGCAAAAGAGAGGACCGAGCGTGGTTCGAACACGCGGCCTAGGGATCTGCAATCCCTCGCTCTACCACTGAGCTATCGATCCTGTTCTTGTAAATAGCTGTTGCAACTTTGGCATATACCCATGCGTTAACAAGAAGAGTTTCGTCGAGGCTTCAGGGTAAGAGAAGTATTTTAGCCTCCAAAGCTGATTTGGCAAGGTTTTGGTGGTTTGTAAATATGTACATGTCTTGAACTCGAGAAGAATAAATGATGATGAAAAGTCAAGGTTGAAATTGGGCTTGGGCTGTGGTTATACAGAGCTATTGTGCCATTACATCCACAATTGCGTGCCGGGGTTCCCGTGATTCTTATGGATCATGTCATTGTGTTGACTCGCGACGGCTTCTCACAGGGCGATTGCCACAACTGATAGCACACGGCCAATTATCATGAGTTTTCGGCGACTTCAACAGCAAGCTCCCGCGAAAACCTTCACCAGAAACACAGATTAAATTGCCACGAAAGCTTACATAGAGTAACAAACAATCATCCGCAGGCAAATCGTTGGTA